ACCTATCAGAAACCTATTCTTACGAGACTGAGCAGTTCAGCCCGAGTTTGGAACATGATCACTTCCTTACTAATCTTATGAAAGGAACAAAGTATGGAATAATAGTTAAGGCCTTTAATGCTGCAGGAACAGGCCCTCCCACCCAGGAGATTCTCGTTAGCACTTTAGATGGAGGTAGGAATTACATATGCTTTACAGAACAGTTTTCATATGAATATTATGGTAACTTTTTTGTGAATATTACTCATCTTGAGAAGCTGAGTTATCAAACGTCAAGTCAATACTTCTAATTTATATTCTAAGTTCAACATTTTTCAACTATTGCAAAGTTTATAGTTTTACTTATCATTTAATTATTTGTTTAATCACAAGTCTGTTAAAATAGTTAGAACTGTTTTGCTTAGTCACAAGTTTGTTAACCATTTTCAACTGGGGGGAGGGGGTGCACTGATAATCCTTGAATATTTCTTCTCATGGTGGAAATGCATAACTAAATTGCATGTGACTTTGTAAAATTTGTTTGTAAAATAGTATCCAGTACATACTCAAGAAAATTTGTATAATTTAATTTAGTGTTTCTGTAATTTTTTAGGTTGCAATATTTCTTAATGTGTTGTGACACTGTTGTTAAAAATATTAAAAAAAAATTATTTTAATATTAGAATTTAAATGTTTTTTTTTATATTTTGATCAGAAAGTTGAATATTACATGACCAGCCAGATGAAGGAATGATCAATAAATTATTTAAATATGATGCAGATGATATTAAGGTCTTGGGTGTTTGTAGATGTGAAGAGTATGCTGCTGATTTACAAAAGGATGTAGATCATTTAGTGAGTTAGACAAATAAATGGCAGATGGGTTATAATTATAATAAATGCAAGATAATGCATGTGGGTTCTCATAATTTGAATGGGAATAACCTTAATGTCATGAAAGAAAGGGATCTTGGTGTAATGGTTGATCAGTCTCTTAAGCTATCCAAGCAGTGTACTGTTGCTAGTGGTAGGGCATATAGGATCTTTGGTTGTATCTATAGAAATATTGAATACAAGTCTAAAGAGGTTGTAATTTCATTGTATAGGTCACTGGTTAGGCCACATTTGAAGCATTGTGTTCAGTCTTGGGCTCCTTACCTTAGGAAGGACATTGAATTGTTGGAAAGGGTTCAGAGAAGGTTACTAGAATGGTGCCTGGGATGGATGGGTTATCATATAAGGAGAGAATAAGATCTCTGAAATTGTTTTCTCTTGAAAAAAGAAAAGTTAGATGGAATCTGCTTGAGGTGTTTAAGATTGTTACTAGAATGTTGCTTGGGATGTAGTGGATGTCATAAGAGGAGAGTTTGAAATATCTCAAATTGTTTACTCTTCAAAAAGAAGAGTTAGAAGGGATATATTGGAGGTGTTTGCAGATTGTAAAGAGAATTGATACTGTTGATGCATCATAATTTTTCATACTTAACAGTGAGAATATTAGGACTAGGGTACACAAATATAAATTTTGGCAGGGTAGGAGTCATCTTCAGGTAAGACAAGGTGGTTTGCTTCTGGAATGGGTTGCCTCTGTATGTTGTGGAGGCAGTAAGGTTAAGTGAGATTAGTAATAGAATGCTTGATAAATATATGAATTATAAGAGCTGGCTTGAGGATTTTTTTTATACAATAGTCTTAGTTTTAGACATTGCTTAAAATTATTTTCAGAACTAAGCTTTATCAGTTATTATTCAGATCACATGCTATAATATCATAAAACGGTGTCTATGAAGGATTTAGTAATTTATGTCACAAACGGCTAAAGAGAAAATATAAATCTTTACTTTGAGATGGCAAAAAAATCAAAAAAATCGATCAGTACGATGTATACAGATGACTTTTGCACAGAAACGAAAGCTGACAAAATATAAATTCTAAAATATTGTAGAGTTAAATTATCGAAATTGTTAGTATTGTTATTTAACTTAAACTTTAAAGTTTGACATGTAGGAGTGCATTTAACACGTTAATGTTTCTCTGCGGTCAAGTTAGGGTTAAAATAATCAGAGATTGTTTGCTTAACCACAACTTTATTTTTAATACTAATATGAAACAGACCTTCCTGCCTCACCAAAACTGTACGTACAGTCTACTACAAGATCAACTGTAACTCTAAAGTGGAATGTCGATTCTCCTTCTCACGCTTCTGTTACAGGTAAATTATTTTGTTTGTAAGTCTCTTTGAAATGAAATTCATAATTCTTTACTTATTTCTACTTAATGTAGACCTTAATATTTTCCATTTATGCTTCCCTGATAATAATATTAATATTGCCAAAGAAATTCTTAACTTACGTTTTATCATCATTCCGTGGAATGGTTAATATATT